GAAGTGGTTTGCCAGAGCCTCCTTCCTAGAGCAGAGCCCAGCTGGTGAGCGCAGGAGGCGGGGTTTCTGTTGCTTCACGCCCTTTTTGGGCGTGCGTGGTTTTTCGCGCTTACCGGCAACTGCTCCCAACTCCCGTGCAAGGCGCCGCCAGCATTTTTCCTCCCACTGGAGTGAGAGTACCCATTTATCTACCTACACATTAGAAAAGTGGTTCAACGTGTATATTAGGTAGGACAGTGACTGTGAAGTTAGTATTTGTTATTGATTTATCTGTTCTACTTAGATAATTATATATAATAAAATCTGTCTTCCTCCCACTTAGCTGTAGAGGTGGGGAATTCTAGGAGCTGTAACTGCAGAACCTTTGAGGGTCCCAAACTGAGGAAAGCTGTTATAAACATTACTACAATCTCAGCTTGTAACAAGAGGAATCTTATATGTTTGGGCATCTTCAAAAATAAGAAGGGTGTTTTTAAAAAAAAATTAAAAGATTAAAATATGATTGATTGACTAAGCTTTGCTGATATGTACTTAAGAAGCTTGGTGATTCTAAGATGGTTGATGAAAGACTATCAACTTATGTAGCATGTCATGAGGATCAAGAACTCAGGGAAAATTAAAAGGCTGAGAGAGAGCAGGAGATCCACCCAAAGCAAGGGAACAAACCGAAGAAATATGAAGTGTATATGGAGAGATAGAGGTTTACCCTTGACTTCTAAAGTTGCCATGGTTTGCTGTTCTCCAGATATACAACTGTAGTTTCCAGAATCTGTTAGCTCCAAGTTTCGAATAACTAGCTCAGCAACTCCCCCGTCACATTTCATTTTATACTTGCTTCCTGACTTAAGGGTCTTGTGCCCTTTCCTCCACTCTATGGGGGCAGAAGTTTTGTTCAGCTCACACTGCAGAGTGGCAGTTTTGCCTTCTGTAGCTTCTTCATCCTTCAAGGGTTTGATGAAAAGGACCGGCAGGGCTGAAGAATGAAGATAATATAGGACAGGAGTCCATCAGAGTTAGATGGAAGCACAAACAGTTCCTTCCTTAGCAAACAATTAGGGTAGTACTCTTTAGCATAATTTAGCATAATAATTTAGCTTAATGGATTATTGCATGACATCTGTCTGATCCCGCTGATTGAAGACTGCAAAGCTTGGAAATTGCCATTGGCAATTTATCTGAGTTTGCAGTCTGGAATCCTTTGCTTCTTCCTGCAAGCTCTGCTTGACTTTATAATTTGATGCAATAATAACAGAGGACAATTGAAATGTATTGGTCTTGAGAAGACCAGCTATCACGTGGATCCCAATTCATTGATGAATTAAGGACAGTGAAGGATGATGGTTCGACTATGTTAAGCAGAGAAAAGTACTGGGATAAGACTAGTTTTTTAGCTAGAATACCTGTAGAAATAATATCCGATTCTTAAAAGAATATATAGAAATTTGGCCCCCAGTTTCAAATGGACCACATAGACAGGTTGCTGTTAATTGCAGCACCCCTAACTTCAGTTAAATAATTTTATGACCGTTTCTATTGTTCAAAGAGTTTAACCCTTTGAAACGATTAACTGTATAGCAGCCATTAATGGGCATTAATAGACATTATTCATCTGTTGTGTTGCTTATGTTATTTTAATTTTGCTCCCTGTTGTTTCATTTCTATTGTGCATGTAAGATTCTAGGAGGATCCAGCAACATACAAGTTGGATAAATACATACATAGATTCATAAATCAGGTGCTGGTATATGTTCAAATCCACTAGCAGAACCTCGTGGTTGAATTTAAATTCACATTCCCTATTTCAACACATTATTCATCATACTAGACCTTGCAGGGTGTTGTACAGGAATACAGGTAATCCCCTATTTAAGAACAAGTTCCATTCCCAAGGTCTCTCCTTAAATCAAATTTGTATGTAAGCTGAAACAGTATTATTGTATAATACTGTATAAGTAGTATTGTGTAATGAACTTGAACCACTGTGTATTTAACTCAAATCATTATGTATTTAATTTAAATTTAATTTAAATTCACATTCCCTATTTCAACACATTATTCATCATACTAGACCTTGCAGGGTGTTGTACAGGAATACAGGTAATCCCCTATTTAAGAACAAGTTCCATTCCCAAGGTCTCTCCCAAGGTCTCTCCTTAAATCAAATTTGTATGTAAGCTGAAACAGTATTATTGTATAATACTGTATAAGTAGTATTGTGTAATGAACTTGAACCACTGTGTATTTAACTCAAATCATTATGTATTTAATTTAAATTTAATTTAAATTCACATTCCCTATTTCAACACATTATTCATCATACTAGACCTTGCAGGGTGTTGTACAGGAATACAGGTAATCCCCTATTTAAGAACAAGTTCCATTCCCAAGGTCTCTCCCAAGGTCTCTCCTTAAATCAAATTTGTATGTAAGCTGAAACAGTATTATTGTATAATACTGTATAAGTAGTATTGTGTAATGAACTTGAACCACTGTGTATTTAACTCAAATCATTATGTATTTAATTTAAATTTAATTTAAATTCACATTCCCTATTTCAACACATTATTCATCATACTAGACCTTGCAGGGTGTTGTACAGGAATACAGGTAATCCCCTATTTAAGAACAAGTTCCATTCCCAAGGTCTCTCCCAAGGTCTCTCCTTAAATCAAATTTGTATGTAAGCTGAAACAGTATTATTGTATAATACTGTATAAGTAGTATTGTGTAATGAACTTGAACCACTGTGTATTTAACTCAAATCATTATGTATTTAATTTAAATTTAATTTAAATTCACATTCCCTATTTCAACACATTATTCATCATACTAGACCTTGCAGGGTGTTGTACAGGAATACAGGTAATCCCCTATTTAAGAACAAGTTCCATTCCCAAGGTCTCTCCCAAGGTCTCTCCTTAAATCAAATTTGTATGTAAGCTGAAACAGTATTATTGTATAATACTGTATAAGTAGTATTGTGTAATGAACTTGAACCACTGTGTATTTAACTCAAATCATTATGTATTTAATTTAAATTTAATTTAAATTCACATTCCCTATTTCAACACATTATTCATCATACTAGACCTTGCAGGGTGTTGTACAGGAATACAGGTAATCCCCTATTTAAGAACAAGTTCCATTCCCAAGGTCTCTCCTTAAATCAAATTTGTATGTAAGCTGAAACAGTATTATTGTATAATACTGTATAAGTAGTATTGTGTAATGAACTTGAACCACTGTGTATTTAACTCAAATCATTATGTATTTAATTTAAATTTTGCTACAATAGGCTCTGTTCTTAATTATGGGTCATCCATAAGCCAGGTGTTCTTAACCCAGGGACTACCTGTACCTTATTTAGGTCATGTAACTAAGACTATTCAACTAAAGTTAACTTGGTTGGGTGTCCATAGGCTCTAGAAGCCTTCAATATATCCTCCATTCCTTGAAAGAAAGTGATGGAGATAGAAAGTTCTCAACATTGTATACCCCTCAAAGTGGGAGGGGAGGGATTAGGA